ATAACCCTTTTTATACAAACTTAGTTTAATAACATTTTTGAACTTTGTGTATGTTTCGTCCATTTAACCAGCTTCACACATATCCAACCCTCAACAACCAACATTTTTAAGCCTGGACAGAACGGATGTGTCCTTACGATAAGCCACGCGCGGCATGGCCCGTTACGATATTGTCCCGTCGACCATCATCATCATCATTACAGCCTTTCACAAGTCCACTGCTGAACATAGGCCTCCCCCAAGTATTGCCACAAAGCACGGTCCTGAGCCACCTGCATCCATCGACTTCCTGCATGTCTTAACAGGTCGTCACTCCATCTAGTGGGGGTCTCCCTATACTACGCCTACCGGTACGAGGGCTGCCACTCGAGAACCTTTCTTCCCCATCGGTTATCGGTTCTTCGAGCTATATGGCCGGCCCATTGCCACTTCAGCTTACTAATCCGTTGGGCTATGTCGGTCACTCTGGTTTTACTGCGGATATCCTCATTTCTGAGTCTATCACGCAGTGAAACTCCGAGCATAGCCCTCTCCATAGCTCGCTGAGCGACCTTGAGCGTCCTCATACGGCCAGCGGTGAAGGACCACGTCTCAGATCCGTAAGTCATTACTGGCAACACGCACTGGTTATACACTTTAGTTTTCAGAGATTGAGGTATACCTGACTAGAAGATGTGTCGTAATTTCCCGAACGCTGCCCAGCCGAGTTGAATCCGTAGATTGACCTCTCGGTCGAAGTTGGACTTACCTAGTCGGACTATTTGTCCCAGGTAAACATACTCGTCAACAACTTCGAGCATAGTGCTCCCAACAACTACCGGCATAAGTGTGACATGGACATTAAACATGATCTTTGTTTTGTCCATGTTCATCTTAAGACCTATCCGTTGGGAGACACCATTGAGGTCATTGAGCATAGTGCTAAGGACCTCTAGCGATTCTGCCATAAGGACTATATCGTCGGCAAATCGAAGGTGAGTGATGTACTCGCCATTGATGTTAATACCGTATCCTTTCCAGTCCAGTAGCTTGAAAACGTCTTCCAACGCAGCGGTGAAGAGTTTCGGGGATATAACATCATCCTGTCTTACACCTCTCTGCAGTTGGATAGGTTCAGTAAAAAACTGCGGTTGCCAACCCGCTCGCCAAGCGTGGCAACTATGGCAAATATCCCGTCGATCAGCTTCACACAAATCCTTTCTCCCACATTAATTCAATTCAAACAAGCAATTTTATCGACCACATAACACTCAGAGCAAACTGCTACACTCATCAATTCATTAGAACACTAAAATGCCACTCTTCACACTTCTCTCAATTGATAGAATGGTAAAGATAAACATTTCCTCGGTACATCGTTGAATATTTCGAACTTTAAAATGTACCCCATGTAAATCATATTTCGCATGAACATAAAATTGAGATAACAAATCCAATAATAACTTCATCAGAAATGATTGTTTTTGGACTTTACTCGATGAGAGATCATAAGTGGAAGACCAGTTCCAGACACTGCTTCTTTAACTCTGGTTTTCTTACTACATGCCATTTCAGTAAACTTAAGCTCGACATACTTCATGTCTTAGTGCATTAGTACTATGATACTTGGAGTTTTGTCCACTGGCGTCTTAATAGCGTGCTACTAAGACTAGGTTGGTGTTGTTTTTAGTTAACAACAATACAAATTTAGTTACCATAGTCGATAGGGATCATGTGGGTGTGTTGTGAGCTGGCGATATCCGTATGATAGTTGCATTGATGCTTACTGCTACTTGCAGCGTCCAATGATGGATATGCCAATTAAGACAATTAGCTGCACGATCTTCCAAAGTGATTGTAAGTTAGTTTACGACGGACTGTTTTTCGCAACTCCACGTCCAAATGCGTATTTTGCTTGTGGGCAAGAATATTGTGATTATTCCAGGCATGAAATCTCCCCGAAGAAGTTCAACAGTGCTTTGATAATGCGAGCAACTTCGGGGAGTGAAACCGGCGTGCTGAGATATTTAGCCCTATATGCAGCTCCCTCCGGACATGCCAGCAACACATGAGGTGCTGTTTTCTCTTCCCCGTACATGCCCTGCACAATAGACTATCTGCAAAACCTATAATAGATAAATGTTTTTGAAGGAGCCGTGTCCTGTAATAGCAATTGTGGCTATCTTGATCTGTGGCTTGATCAATCTCATTAAGACATTGGTTAAACGACTGTTTACTTCTGGTAGGGCTTCCCTAGCTTGCCTATTGTAGATTTTTCCAAAGCTGAGCGTGTTGATTAGTAAAGTTTTTACGTACCAGTGAACGACCAAAAGCTAACGGTCGTTTACTGGATAGGTATGATCGGTTCCGGCCTTATAACGGCCATAGCCGATTCTCTCCTGGTCAGTTCATCTACTGCATTACCCATGGATCCACTGTGTTCTTTGAGCGAATGAAAGAAATACTGTCCAGGGTAAGACTTAAGTATTTTACAGTTTATTGAGGGTCCGTTATGTGAACATTACTAGAACCATTTGAATTTTCGAGATAGATGGTAATACTGAAATTGGCCTATATTTTGACGGGTCTGTCTCCACACTTGTACACAGGCATTATAAATGCAATTCAATGCATCCGGGAAAAGTAGAGTATGGCTCGACCGGGTAAGGACCATGCTCTCATGGAATACCAGCGTCAAATAGTAGCTAAATGATGCTGTGTTTCGTATGGTGAGTGTAGAGAACCGGAGACCCTTTTTATTGGAAACGAGGCATACCATCTTAGTCTTCACAGATGACAACGCATCTGCATTTTGATTTGTAATCGAGAATGGATGTAGATGTTTATGGGCCACAGCAACCACTTACCATCAGGTGGACTGTGCGCTCGTTTGTCACCCTATCCTTTAAAAAAATATATATGTCAGGTCATCTGCATACCCAATTGCATAGAAGTGTTTGGCACTTAGTTTGTTAATTAGTTGCTTTATTCTGTTTATTATTCTTCTTTATATTTCTTTATTATGGTCTGCTTGAGATTCACCAGCAATCTTTATTGTTTATTAACAGAGCATGTTTAGTATCGAGTCAATCACTGCCGGTTCAACTCTAACCCTTTCAGACCCACGACGAAACTAAACGAGTTAGTGTTAAAAAAAATAGGTATTCTTTATCGTTGGGGATCAGAGAATACAAAAACTGAAGACTTTCAGTGATACAATGTGTTTTCAGGACTTTTCAGAGGGGCGTACAATTGTATCTACTTGGGCCCTACTCATTCCACGTCACAGTTGTGACGGTCACAATTGTGTCGATGTGGGCCCAACTCATTCCGAGTCACAATTGTGACGGTCACAATTGTTTTGATGTGGGCCATATTTCTAACCACTAATATTTGTAATTATATTAAGTTATTGCATTTTTTCAAATTATTATTATAAATTAAGGTGAATAAAAAGATGTGATGTGTTTACTATGTCATTTATTTTATATTGGCTTAATAATTTAATCTTTCTCTAACTTAAAACCAAGTTTAACATAGAATTAGAAAGAAATATTATTATTTTATTTCAACAAACTTTTGCTTAGCATTAACAATAAACTTTATAATCTAATAAACGAAAATATTTTCTTAACCTTAGCATAATAGGAACTACATTTTTTTTGTTAAAATTAAAAGAACATACAGTAGCATAACATTATTCAGACTTTTCATTTAACAAGCGTTGTGGAACTTAAAAAAACAATTTTTATCCTTAGTTGTACATAAATATACGTTGCATTTCGAACATCTTGCTCGGGTTCTACTGGTGCAATCAGGCAACCTGCATTTGCGAGGAGCTTTCAACGTATCGAACATTGGCCAATGATTGTAGCCATCATATCTTTTGTCAGGTGTTGGCAGTATTGCAGGTTTGTACTCAGAACTAGTCGTTATCGGGGCTAATTCTAAGTCATCGCGAGTCCTTGTTTTAGTCGGTCCACCTAATAAATACTCTACAATAGATATTCGAAATGCCAGCAAGTCCATGACATCATTTTTACGCATATTGGCTTTTCGTGCGGCTTCTCGATACTCAAACCAGGAGTTTACGATAGCGAGATCAAAGAGATGAATTATGACCTTTACAGTCCATTTCTTGGTTTTGAACCACGTCCTATAGTTTTCAATCATCTGGTCGCACAAGTCTATGCCTCCCATGTTGTTGTTGTAATTGGCGACGATGGAAGGACAAGGAATGTTCTTGTAAGTACGTGTTTGTTTGTCCCATCGACTTACAGTAGTACTCGGTTCAGCTCCGTGAATTGTTGAAGCCAACAAAACACTTTTGTTATCTTTCCACTTGACCGTGCAAAGTTTTCCATTTGGACTACAAACTTCTTCGCAATCTCCTCGTTTCATCGCTTGATCCTTCTTGAATGTATACCAGGTTTTTTTTAATCGGTTTGCCATTATCGTACCCGTTCCATCAAAATTGCGATTAATTAGTTCTTCCAGTAAACCAATCGTTGTAAAATAACGATCAAAATATAAACTTCCACCAGGTAATGTTCTTGTCAATCGCAAAACAACCGCAGGACCTAAGCCAAATGACCTATCTGGTAAGTCGGTGGTTGGGCCTTGATATATCTCAAAATCCAGGATCAATCCTTGTGCAGTCGTAACTAGGAAATTTTTCAATCCAACTGGCCTAGGCTTGTTTGCTACATACTGTTTCTGTGCGCACCGCCCTGTGAATGGTATCATCTGTTCATCGACAGAATAAGTTGGACTCTCGCGTGGCAATGCATGGCAGCGTTTTCTAACTGCATCTATGACTGCTTGCACTTTCCACAATTTATTAGCAGACCGTTCATTTTCGTCAACTCTGTTAGGATCAACTACATGTAAATTGACCCGTAGCATTAGCTATTGGGTCGTATCGAAATTTTTGATGCCGTATCGAAATTTTGGACATTTTCATTCGAGGGCATTTAATGCAACTCATCATCCCGTGAACTCCAAAGAATTTTTTTATTTCATTAGGTGTACATTGCGGCTTCATTTGCTTCGAAGTACTCCGCAGGTGATTTGGGCGGTTCATTACTTGAACTTTCTTGAGCTTGACTAGTAGTCTTCCCTCGAAATCTTTTTTTTGTCCATTTGCCATCACTTTGATTGGTAGCCGCCCTCAAAGATGAGAGTGGGACATCATCCTCGGAAGAGTTATTATATTCATAATTTTGCGTATATAAGTCATCATCATCTTCATCAACATCTTCCAAGTCAGACTGTTCCAGTAACTCCCCAATTGCGTTGTCATCGAGGCTAAATAGCGATTCTGCCATGGCAATGTACTATGTAGTTGGGCCCGGAGTGATACAATTGTGACGTTAGACTTCAGTGCCTCTTTTTCTTAAGAATTTCCTAAAAATACAAACAATTTCATTGACTGGTACGTAAAACAGTTCAATAATAACAATAAACAACAATCATAACGTGAGAAATACATAATTATATGGTAATTTTGATTACTCACGCGCAGCAACACCCCAAACAACACCAACGGCGAAATGAATGAATTTAAATTTGAACTTCGCGACGCTTGCTAGCTGTCTCACTCACACCTATAGACAGAGCATATCCGTCACAATCGTGCGGCCGTGGGCCCGTTCAAATAACGCCTAAAATACCGACAAAATTTTACTTTGACTTAACGTCACAATCGTGTTGGCCTGGGCTGAAAGGGCTAAGTCTACTTAGTGCAACTTTTATGCTGGCGATTGATTGTTATTTTAAGCGATTGTTATGCCATTAACAAATAAAGTAATTTCCTATCGAAGCGTTTATTTTGTGCAATAAGTTTTACTACATTACGTCATCCCTCTATATATTTATATCCGAGTTTGAATCGTTCGGATTAAAATGCAAAAGTTGCGTTGAATTTTTTAATCACGGTTAACATATATGGTATTGCTAATACTCGTGATAAAACGCCTACTTTACGTCTATATATGTCTGTGTACCTACGCATACATGCTCGTCGATTAGGGGACTCTATAATACATATTTTGTATAATAATAATTACGGAGTAATAACTCTTTTGGTCACTCTTCCCGCCAAGTTTTCCTCAAACAGTCATTATTCAAAGTATGCTTAATCACAGAGAAATCACTTAAGGTATCTATTTGATTACACACAGTGATCATAATGCCGCAATGGCTAGCAACAAACTGTTACCCATATCTTCATCACTTCTTATAAAACGATCTACTGTAGAGACAACGAATATCAGGTCGTTCCAAGTCGAGCAACAGTAGTCTCTAAGAGACAAAGGCCTTCTACCACACCATCAGATGTTCATCGCTCCTGAATGACTCACAAATAAACCGCAGTTACAACTATGCACCAATGCGTGCAATGCGATCAAGTTACTAAGAGCATGAACGCTTTAAAATACCTCCGGAAACTTTGTTAATACTTAATTCTATTTCAATTAGATCAATTCCTCATTAATAGAAAAATTTTTATATACAATAGGTATATTGATATTGTTATATTGTTTGATAGCGATAAGGTGTAATTTTAAAATAGCAAACGCTGAGGTGTGAGATGGCGCGTTGTCATAGTGAAACAGGATTTTATTTTTCTGAAAATGTGGCCATTTTTCCGCAATTTCTGCCTTTAGTTGGTCAAATAATGATGTAATGGTTTTTCTCTTTTAACTTTATGACTATCCCAAGAAACAGTCGCAATCACTTTTTCAGACGAAAAAACAGTTTTTGCTTTTTTGGAGCCGGTCTCCTTTGCAGTCCACTGTTTTTACTGTATTTCTATTTCTGGAGTTTGGAGTTGAACACCATTATGGTGTATTCAAATTTTTGCGCCCACTCACTTGCCACTCAAAGTTCGAACACGTTTTTGGCCTAAGAAAACTGACAGCTTTCTCATGCTTAAATTTTGATTCATTATGTGACAAACACTTTCTTTGGATATTTTAATAGCGTATTGTCTACTATCTCTCTCACTTTAATTCGGCGATCGTCTAGCATCATTTGGTGAATTTTAGTGATGTTATCGTCAGTAGTTGCAGTTTTTGGATGTCTCGAATGTTCGTCGTCTCCCAAGCTCTCATGGCAACGTTTAAATTCAGCTGCAAAAAAAATTCACTGTTGTAAATGATGGTGCAGAGTCCCCATACTCGGAGTCCAACTCATCTTTGATTTGCGTAGGCGTATTACCTTTCAAAAAAAAACTTTAATGACAGCTCGATACTCAATTTTTTCCATTTTCAAAAAAATACTCACATCAACTCACTCAAACGACTGTCAAATAACTCCTGTCACTCAAAAAACTCCTCGTCCAAAATGGCTAAAATTTTGGTGCGTAACTATCAAAAGATGCACAACTATATTCATACGCTTTTATTGACGAGTGTTGCCATCTTCACGGCCAGATCGAAAACTTTTTAGGCCACCTTGGTATTAGGGTTGCACTGCCTGGAATTAGTAGATGGATGGGGAACTGTAACCGTTTTTGTACGGACTTGGAAAGTAAATAATTTAATGTGAAAAATCTGCTACTACTTTACTTTACTTACTACTTTAGTTACCATCGTCTCATTTGGGCCCATTTTTAGTCGTTATAGCGGTCAAACCGTGAACTCAATTTACTCACAGTATTAAGAAGGCCTGTTCTAGGTTCACGTATTGTAACTAGCAACTACGGGACCCTACATTGTGCGTGGACTGACATTCACTTGACGAGCAAGGAGGGAAGGAAAATAATCTTAGTCCTTAGGTGTCACAAGGAATTGGTATTTTGATTCTTCATGGAAGATGTATGTGTCCATGAAGCACAGCTATCACTAATCATCAGTTCGACTGTGTGTCATCGTATTACTTATTGTCATCGTTTTATCGTCACCGCCATCATCATAGTGGCCCATCAAAAATCCACTGACGAACATAAGCCTCCCCACAGATTGTGTCACCAAGCGCGATCCTGAGCTATCTGGACTCCCTGAATGCTTTATCAGATACCGAATTCCCTATCACTTTACAGTTTACTAACTATATCGTAATATTTTTATGAAAAAATGTTACTACCTCTAAGGTAGTCCTGTATAGTGTAGGCGTTTCACATACATGAATTGCACATTGACAAACTATGCATACCAACAAATATGGCCGGCCCAATGCCATTGCAGCCTACTAATCCGTTGGACGTACACTTATTTATCAAAATATTTTCATGAAAGACAGTTATTGTAATGAAATGATAAAACAATTCTCATAATGGACAAAAACAATTTTAACGTTTACATATTAAATTTATTGGAAAGTGGCCCAAGGCTATTATTATTAAGCTAAAGACAATTTTTGAATTATTTTGTAACTGTAGTCATAATTCAAAACAGTTTGAATAAGTCTAATATTTTGCAAGTAACTTTAGTAATACATCAAAAGTACGATTTTATTAACCAATTAAAATTTGATTATTACAACCTAACGGACAGTAAAAAATGCTATTGTAACCAACAATAAATTTTATTTAAAAGACACAAAGGTAATAAAAAAAAGATGTGGGAATTCTTTACCACCCAGTAACAGTCAAATGATAGACATGGGCTTAATCTAATATGTAAAAGAATTGCCCATGCTTAGCAAGTTCGGATTGCCAATCGCAGTCCGGATATTTGATAGCGTTACTAATAGGCCATTGAAACCTATACAAATAAATAAAATTTAAGTGTCTGTTTGTAATGTAAAATAAACAGCATTTTACTAAATGCAGATGGTATTTACGGTATTTATAACGCAAACACAATTTTTAAAATTTTTACTTGTTTGTTCCGGCTAATCTCCGAAATGGTTCGACCGATTTTGATGGGACTTCCACTGGCAGATAGGCGATGTTATAAGGAATAACTTATGCCTTCAAAAACATAACTTGTAAAAAAAAACCAAGTCTTGAAACTCAGTTCTTCTACCTTAAAAAGTTGTGAGATCCATGTAATACCAAGTCAGTTAATTTATTCAGTCCCTACTTAAGGTCCTTCTGTTTTAAGTTATTAAGTAATTAGCTACTTTAATAACGTTTTATAGTGACCATATTAATGTTAAAAATCTTTTGTTTCAAATAAATAGATTGACTTGGCCATCGCAAGAAAAAACAATGTATCTCACAAGTAATATATATTATATTAAATATGATTGCTTAGTGCGATTGCCAAGTCAATCTATATATTTTTGACATTGATATGGTCACTATAAAATATTGTTAGTTTAGCTAATTACGTAATAACTTAAAACAGAAGGACCCTTAAGTAGGGACTGAGTGAATTAACTGACTTGGTATTACATGGATCTCACAACTTTTTAAGGTTCAAGAACTGAGTTGCGAGACTTGGTTCTTTTTACAGGTTATGTTTTTGATGACATCTCATTTCTTTTTGTAGATAAGATAATCCAACTTTTTTCCTTTCCGGTACCTTCTAATTCTTGAATACCAACAACGTACCTCTCTACAATATTATACATATACAAGTACACTGATTCATTCACTGCAAATATAACTTTGTAATTCTATATATTTATATGGGATTACAAAGTTATTTATGCAGTTAGTGTATCTAGAGAACTACACTAATACTACACAATACACTAATTGTATTCTAAATTTGAAGCTTCTATATCTGCTAAATGTGCCTTAGAGTTTTGATGATCGGTCAGTCAGTGAGTGACAAAATTAATAAACTTTGACTAGTTATACTTCTTAAAGTACTGGTTCAAATTGAATGAAATTTAAAATATACCATGTCTATACAATGTCTACTCGGTTTCTGAAAATTGAGGCTTCTAGTTTTATCCTCTACGAAGTTATAGGGGGTCGAAATGGCCTGAATTGCTTTGAGAAAAGTATTGTACGGCCGTGCCGCTTTTTTGCTGGACTTGGCGGGAGCACTGCCGTGCCCCTGATAATTGGGTTCCGCGCAAAAAAAAAATCCAATGAAATTAATCATAATAAATACACGCGGGTGAAGTCCCGGTAAAGAGCTAGTAAAAATAAAATATAATGAGGAGGTGTTACTTGTAGGACTAGTCTAGCTGGTCCAGTCGAAGACAACACTTTGCGTGGAACTTTATCATAGAATATGCTTCGGTTAATATCGTGATGTTATGTGTGTAAATATTTTTAACTAGCTGTTACCCGCGGCTTGGTCCGCATGGTCACTGGGAAATGAACTATCCATTGCTTTTTGAATTGAAAGAAAACTGAGTTTTATAGATTTGTCAGAGATGTAGCCATTAAAAGGAAACTGAGCAAAATTGGTTCGTCAGCCTATTTAAACGTTTTGAAAAGCAGCGTATAGGAAAGCATGAAAATAGCCTGTTTATTCCAAATGGAAATGGAATATTTTTTTAATTAAAGGAAACTGAGCATAATTAGGATGCAGTAGGTCAGGGATGCAGACTTTTGAAAAGAAACTGAGCTAAATTGATTTGTCAGAGATGCAGTTTTCTGAATTGAAAGGAAACTGAGCCAAATAAAAGATCCGTCAGAGATGCAGCCTTTTCAATTGAAAGGAAACTGAGCTTAATAGTGGACCTATTAAGCTCAGTTTCCTTCAGAGGTGCAGCATCTGGAATTGAAAAGAAATTGAGCTAAATAGGAAATTTTGAATTGAAAGGGAAGATCTGTGGGAATTCTGATTAATTGATTGCGGGAATTTTGGAAAAAAAACTAACTGAACACTATTTTAAGACGCTACTGTACACAATGTTATATGTTTTTCCATTCGGGGAAAGAATGTGGAGATTCTGGGCATTTGACACACGCGAACATGCTACATACAGCTGACCATGAGAGAAGCACGGTTTTTCTAAGTTGACCCCCGCTACCTGTAACGTTTGCCCTTGCGCTTTATTAATTGTCGTTGCAAAACTGAGCTTAATAGGGAACTGCAACCTTTTGAATTGAAAAGGAAGATCTGTGGGAGTTATAGGGATCCGTGGTATAATAACATTTTCACCTTTTCCTACGCCTGTCAAAATTGTAGCACCGATTATGTTCCGTCCAAGATGTGTCACACGCAGCCTTGTCCCGTTACATAACAAGGAGCATCTAAATTTCGCATTAGCATGACTGGGACGCCTAATTTTAATTGAAGCTTATGTGAGGGCACACCTGACAACTCTAGAGAATTTAGAAACTCTGCGGGATATGAAGTGCTCTGTTCTGTGTCCATAACTGTGTCTACTGACAAATACTCTGTTATTTCTCCTGCTACTTCGCTTAATATATCTGAATTTATCTTGTTAACGCTCTCATTTTTTGGTGCAAGAATCGCCCTTTCACATAACCATTTGTCTTCATGCATGTTGTTCGTTAAATCTGAATAAACGCTCGCAATTAATTCGGAATGACTCTGTACTAAATTACAAAAATCTCTGGTCAATTTAACGCAGCCCTCAGCATCCGTTTCCAACCGCCCATCGCCAATTTTTAATAGTGTGTCAGCATAGTTTTCAGCATTGTATCATTATACAAATGCACTCTCATATTCGTAGTTAAACTGAATTGTGTCACCTTGTTCCATAAAATAGACGACTTGAGGCATGCTTTAATTTCATCTGCAGGTGTGCCCTTTTGAATGATAGGTAAAGTTTGACGAAAGTCACCAGCCAGTAAAACCACCATTCCTCCCATTACATCGGTATTGCTGCGCAAATCCTGAAGCGTTCGATTTAGTGCTTCTACAGCTTTTTTATGCGACATTGTACTTTCGTCCCACACTAAAAGTTTGCATTGTCATAGCATTATACCTCGTGCACTATTTTTGCTAAAGTTGCAGATCGGCGATTCTTCCTGGGCTAGATTAAGAGGGAGTTTTAAAACAGAATGTGCAGTGCGGCCCCCGCTTAGCAGCGTGGCGGCTATACCGGAGGAAGCTACGGCCACAGCAATGTTTTTCTTTTTCCGTACTTGCGCTGATAATAAATTTAACAAAAATGTCTTCCCAGTTCCTCCAGGGGCATCTAAAAAGAAAAGTGCACCATTTCCAGATTCAATTTGTCCTAATACTTTGTCAAAAACTCGTTTTTGTTCGGGAAGCAAGCGGGGTACAAATTCGGCTACTTGCTGCTGCAAAGCTGGTATATCGTAGTTTGTTTTACGTATAATTTCATCACTTAGTTCATTTTCGGTTGCTCGCTGAGGACTAATCATTCCAAAGTCGCTTGATTTTTTGCCTACCATTGCCATTACTTTATCTTCAATTTTTCCAAGTGCTTCATTATAAATGTGTTCATTGTATGTCATGTTCGCGTGTGTCTGTTGTAACTTTCGCAAAATATCTTCCGCCATGTACTCTTTATATTTATCCCACAATTCATGTGCATTAGATAGCCCGCAAGATGATATGAGAGTTTCATAAAGATCTCTAATTTTCTCTGGTGACTGGCACTGCACAGCTTCCTCCATGGTTTCATCCCAGTGATTATCGTTTTCTAAAAGATGCAGAGCTTCACATGCTTCTCTATAAGTTGCGGATTCCTGACTGTTGACAGTTTTAAGGTCTTTATGTCCTGTAGGACCCCGAACATGGTGCAGCAGCAATCGTAAATCGTAAACAGAAACATTCAAAATTAGTTACATGGATGGTATACACACGACCAAGGGCATCTGATGACTTTACACCGGGCCAAATTCCACCAGCGCGCCTTGAATACGGCGTTTCCACTCCTTCCTAGATGTGTTCCAAGTATAATAGCGGGGGACTTCAGAATATAACAACGTTTTTGCAAAGGGGTCGATTTGACAAAGTTGAAAGAAGGCTGTTACTGTAGTTTTTGGCGGTAATGCAATTCTTTCTTGGAAATTTCTTTCGGTGAAATATACACGCTCTCCATTTTCTAAGTGCATACCAACCAAATCAACAAAACCGATCCAAGAAAATACACAAATCCGAAAATGAAAGCCAATATAAATCCATTCAACCTTAACCAAATCACAAAGCAAATAACAAACAACCAAAATCTAAAGAAGGTAGTCGAATAAGCTACGAAATAGAAACAATTTAAGCGTATAGGTACCGTATGCAGTTGATTAGCGGCTCAACGATGGGAGTTAAGTACGTGTCAGGAAACATTTCGTTACCGCGTAAAAATCTAGTAACGACATCTAGCGGAATCAATTTAAACTATGTATACGTTAGTTAATAAGAACTCTCAAAAATATTTTTCTTATAATTTTGCATAATTTTTCTTATTGTAATACCGATTCATTCATAACCACGTATAAGAACTGTATTCATTTCCGTTCAATAAATATTACTAGGGCTTATTAATAAGGCTTACTAAGAACTGTTTCTACCACAGTTAAGTAATAGTTAAGGGTGAAAGCGTGACAGGTGGTGATAGTATTTCTGATCCATACTTATAATCACGCCTGTAACCCTTGCGGGGTAGGCAGAGCCTCAACGGATTACTTAATATCGTCTGCGAGGTTATCGCCTATTCTGTGAATTACAATGCACCAAAACGTTTGAAGAAAATCAGCTGGTGAATTTTATGTTTTTATCGCTCTCTTCCCGGTCCTGCGTGGAAAAATACAGATCTATACATTTTTTATCTTAATTTTGGTAAAAAGATATAATAATCCAGATATTCTGACCTTCTGTGTTCGTCCATCGTACCGTCGTCCGTCTTGTAGAATCACGGTGGCGCCACCTAGCTGAATTTAATTTTGCAACATATTCGATTTTCCCACGGGAATGGTATGTTTTACCGCTGAAAAAAGTAGCCTAAGTAGCCTACAGCCACCAAACTATCGCCATACAAAAAATCATGCCATGCCGACGCTCTGTCGCGAGGTGAAAGAAGGACAAACTTGTGCAACATATTCGATTTTCCCACGGGAATGAGATGTTTTTCCGCGGAAAACGTGACGTGAAAGAAGGAAAAATGATGTTCGTCATACACTAATTTATTTTCAGTCGCAAAATAAAGTTTCATTAAAAATATTTGAATATTGCTTAGAATACTGTTTTTTTGTAAAATTGTAACCAAATCCAATAATGCAACTCCTATAGATATTGTATATACAAGTAGATCTTTCTGCGTAGATGGGAACTAAAAATATTGATTACTCGTTTTTTACCCGCGGTTTGCTCGCGTGGGTTTGATTTAGGAACATAATTAACCCTTTAATTCGCAATGTTAAGTATACTCAACTATTAATAAAAATATTTATATTATAGAAATTGTTGATTATTTATATGGTAACACTTTACAATCGGAGAGGCAAACAAACTGACAAGCTAAAAAAAAGTATCTCACACGTCACACGTCAAAATTTGATACTTAGCCGCAAAATGGCGTCTTATGCAGCAGCAATGCGTGACCGTAAGGTAATTTATTTCCGAATTTCGCGATTGTCATATAATTTGTACATTTATTTTGCTATAATTGTGTTTGCAAATAACTAACCTTTGTTTTCATCTTATTATTGCATCCACAACTGCATTTACTAATTAAATAAAACAAGCGTTTGATGCATGTTGAGTATTTTTAACGTTACGAGACATAGACTAAAGTACATATAACTGGGTACGTTAAGAATACTCAACGTTGCCCGACACATAGAGTAACATTAATGCTGTTTTATATGGTGTTTTTTATGTTTGTGTTTTTTTTTTGGTAATGAGTTATGGTTTTTAATAGCTATCTTTTTAATGGTTATTGTTTTAAATGTAATGCATTTGGGTTTGTTTGAAATTATGCGAATTTCTTTAAGTGTATTTGCTTGGTTATTTGGGTTTTGTATACTTTTTTTTGGTTGTTGAAGGTAAAACCACAATGGGAGCGGACTAGGCGTATTATGGCTTTGGTGCCTCCTGCATGCGCCCCTTCTGATAGTAGCGATACTTCAGAAGATGAAGACCAGGTTCCTAAATTACTAGAACACGTTGAGACGAATGACTTATCTGATTTTAGTTCCGAGCCAAAATCAATAGAGTCTTCTTTAGAAACGTTAAATATCCTGGACGATCTATCTGATAATAGTAACACCAATATCCAACAAAATTCAGAATCTCCCATATCTCCTTACGAAGAAGATACAGTCCCATTGACTCCACTTATGAATGAGATATTTAGACCGGGGTCAGAGTTACTACATACCTTACCTACGTTAAATTCGCCACTTTTATCTGCACTTCCTGAAAATACAAGATCAAATAAAAGAAAAGCTATCAATAGACCGAAATTAGTAACAAAAAAAGTAAAAAAATATATCCGCAAACCTCTTAATTTCAAATGGACAAAAGGTAAATTTAAATATGCAGGAACTGTTGAAGACCTGTTTCAATTCAGCACACCTACCGATACTAAATCTCCTCTTGACTACTTTTATTCTTTTTTTTCGCAAGATATTATAGATCTAATAGTGGATCAAACAAATTTATATGCTGTACAATGTGGAGGGGGCAAGCGAAAGGCATAAATATATCCAAAGATGATATTCATGACTTTCTCGGCATAACCATTTTAATGGGAGTAGTGAAAATGCCATCTTACAGGGACTATTGGAGTCAAACGTTACGATATGCACCTATTGCCGATGTCATGCCCCTGAAAAAGTATGAACAAATTAGAAAATACCTCCATTTTTCGAATAATATCGATGCAAATGATGACCGTTACTTTAAAATACGTCCTATCCTCGAGAAAATAAGACAAAACTGCCTATTAGTTGAAGAAGAAGGAAGGTACAGCATCGATGAAATGATGGTACCCTATAAAGGCACTAGGGCAGGCAGCCGCCGGCAGTATCTGCCAAAAAAACCCAAAAAATGGGGCTTCAAAATGTTTATACGAGCAGGAGTTTCGGGGCTAGTATATGATTTTTTGCCATATGGTGGTGACGATACTTTTAGGGGCATGTCATTTAACGAGTATGAAAACAGCCTTGGCTTAGGGGCTAAAGTGGTTCTGGCTCTGGCGAAGACTATACAGAAAAGACCTGCAATTTTATACTTTGATAACTTTTTTTACGTCACTTGAATTGATACATCTTTTACGTGACGAGTACGGATTATTCAGCTTGGGCACAATTAGAAGCAATAGACCGAGAGGATGTGAAGATAAACTACCTACATATAAAAATTTGGCAAAAAAAGGAAGGGGATCAAGCAAGCAAGTGGTTTGCAATAAAAATAAAATTGCTGTTATAAAATGGCATGACAATAAAACTGTTACCCTTGCTAGTTCATTTGTGGATTCGCACCCTATTGAAAAAATCAAGCGTTATTCGAAAGATGCTAAGACAAGGGCAGAAGTTGATTGTCCTCAAATAATAAAACAATATAACTTGCACATCGACCTGGCCGATATGTTAATCGCAATTTATCGCAGTTCTTTCAAAACCAAGAGGTGGTACATGGCTATATTTTCGCAAGCCATAGACATATGTGTCAATAATGCATGGCTGTTATACAAAATAGATAAAAAAATATCACTCAGTAAATGCATGCCATTAAAAAAGTTCCGGATTAATGTATGCACAGAACTATTGAAAAAAAAAATAGAGTTCCCAAAGACACGAATAAGGAAAATAATGCTGCTGCCCAAATTCAATTACCATCTGCGCCGAGACCACCTGATGCTGTACGATACGATAACACTGGGCATTTGCCAGTATTTGTTCCCTATGGTAGATGCAAATTTTGTAAAAACGGTTTCACAAATATACAATGTACCAAATGTTCTTTGAGACTATGCTTAGAGAGTAAGAGAAATTGTTTCTATAACTTCCATGTATAATAGTAAACTTTTTATTTTAATGTATTCGTTTTATTTTTGATCATCCATAAAAGAGCAATGTTGAAAATACTTAACGTCTCTACATACCTTTGATTCTTTGTATCTTTCGTGATGTTGAGTTTAATCAACATATGTTTTCTCAAAAACAGTTTTTCAAAATATTTTTTTATTATTTTTATGGACATTGTTATTATATGAAATATATTTTTTTGTACAAGAACTATTAAATTACGAAAAAAAAATTACTTGCGCGTTAAAGGGTTAATAATGTTCCGTGCCAAAAGTAGCAAAATTGGATCACCTGTAGTCACATCGGCTTCTGCGTCTCCATGTCTATTGTCACAGGATTTTTTGAATTCTCAGAGACATTGGACGTAGTGGATTGAAATTTGGCATAGGTATAATATGATACTGGTACACGTAATATGTAATTTTTTAGGAATCGCACTAATATCGTACGTCTATTAATACCCACCACCCACTTTTTATATCGGGCATATATTTCGCCGTGTCTGCTGTGAAGAAAAGTAAATTGTCTTGGAATCAGATCTGTCAAATAAAGTTCGGACAAAATAATGATTGAACTTCAAGGTCTCCTATTAATATATCGCATAATTTTTATTTGTGATATTTTATTCAAATCACTGGCCCATTGAATGTTTATTGGCACAATAAAATAGATGCTGACCATTTTAGGTTAGAGTTGACTAAAACTTTTATATATATTTAATTCCATAGTTGCCTCTTACGACACTCACGGTAGAAATCCATCCTGCCATACTACTCTAAAACGGATGTCTTGTTGGCACAAAAAATATAACTTTGATATTTTTTATAATTTTACCATTCAAAAACTACATCTTACTTTATAAAGTAATACATTTACATATCATACTTACGCTTTTTATCATATCTTTAAATAATTATTCGTCTACAAAACCTGTTTAATGTACCTAACACTAACGAGCTCATGATTAATAATGACGATGAGAAATTATGGTATTTAAATCAAGCATATGTATAATTTATTAAAAACAAATGGATGCGGAAGTATTAGGAAAACGGAGTAATAAATTACATAAGATTATAATGTTAGCAGCATAGACGGGAGGCGTATTTCGAACAGGATCTTGTTACAGCAAAAAACCTTCGTTATTAACGCTATAATTAACTAAACCCGATTATGCCATGTGTGTATTGAGTCTATATCTGCCGGAGTGTATATTGTTAACAAAATGTGTAAAATGTATCAAGCAAAATGTGTTAATGTGAAATGAAAGGGATATTTTTATTGTGCCGCATTTGCGTACCTGTGTGGTTGAAGAATGGGATTGAAAGTGGCGTCGCTTCTATTGCGTTTTTCGTACATTTTATAACTTCAGTCCAACTTGTTGTCAGTCGTAGGACTGCTCCTCAGAAGTTAAAATTTCTTAGCTTCACACACTTGTAAACATTATTATTGAGTAATGATTTCTTATATTTACGCGAACACTACAAATTTATATAATACTAGTTTTTACGGATTTTATCGCGTATATTAACTTTTTTATATTCCCGACGTTTCGAGCACTTTACAGCATCCATGGGAGTCACGGGGGGGGGGGGGGGCTGAGGTGTTTGACGTCCCGATGTCACAGTTACCCGTGGTTACCCACAGATTAAAATTATTAATTTTTATTCCGATCTACACAGTATGAACTTAAAGTAACTTGAAGTCTTGCAGTTGTATGCTTGGGTTTGGATTTAATTTTATTAATTATAGGATCCCAAGCGGATGGTAGCACCCAGCCATCATCTCTACCGAAATGAGGATGTTTTTTGATTTCAATAGCCTCGCAAATCATCGTTAGATGGAATCGGTGTTCTTTAGCGAGCATTTGTGGTCTCTCAAATCTGATGTTGATGTTACGGGGGCGATGCTGTACGTGTTCACAGACTGCAGACTTCCCGGAGCGACGGTTCTTCACATCATCTATATGTTCTTTAACGCGGCTTTTAATTGTTCTTTTAGTTTGTCCTATCTAAGAGAGACCACATTCACAATCAAGCTTGTACACTCCACTTATAATAGACTCATTTAAAGAGGTAAGATAGTCTAAAAATGCAGTTACTTTATCTAAAGGTAGAATTGTGAAAGTGTCGTCTACGTACCGCTTGCAGAATTGGATTTACGGGAGAAGTAAGCAAGGCTTTCTCCTCAAAGTCTTCCATGAATATGTCAACGATAATGGGAGATACAGATGAGCCCATCACCATACTATGTACTCCCTTGTAGAACTCCTCCTTTTACAATAGGTAGTCAGATGTAAGGCAGTGTTTGAGTAACACTGCTTATTCTACGGGCATGTTGTTTTCCTCCAGCCTTCTAGTTCCAATCGAGATACAGTCTTCAACAGGTATTTTATTTGAACAATTTAGACCTTATTAAAATAAAAAATATTGTTATGATAAAAAATGATCTTTAATTAATGACTTAGTATAATGATTATCTTAAGTATATATTACGCTACATTAATAAATCCCACCCAGGCAAAGCTAGAGCGATTCGCTAGTTATAAATGTTATTTTAAAATCAATAGATATCTACGTAAGGGTACCTACTTGCGTATACAATTCTTTTCAAATATTTTTCACTTTGTAGAAAATTGCCAATTACCCGAATAATATAACGGTATAACGATATATCGTTATTAGTGGGTTTTCGCAATTGGTACGCAATTGGTAATGTTGACGGCACGGGCTCCATGAGTCGCCATTTCCAATCCCATTTTTTATCCGTAAGGACTGTATGTATTCCTAATGACACTGGTTGTAACAAAGATTTGCATAGCTGTGTCAATTATAAGCTGTAACATAATATAATTTACTTATATGGGACTAACTATGTTTTAATGGAAGCTCGCTTCAAGATTTGGTTTGGTTTGGCTTCAAGAAAGTGTAATGTACCCCCTCTCTTCTTTTTTCATATTATATTATTATTATTATATTCATGTTATCTGGTAATTTATATAAAATGATTAAGATATATGTGACCAGGATAATTAAATATGTATTGATCTTTCTATAGGTTTAATAATAGGCCATTTGTAATATATATGTGGCGTGATCGTCTTAGTGATGACCCTTATTTACGTTGTGTTTGTTTAGTAACTTAGTTCTTTTAGGTGTCTTTTGGAAGAATGAATATTCACTAGAGCAATTGAAAGCTGTTGGTAGTGCTTTATAATAAGCTAAGTGAACCCCGTTCAAGAAGACTGGCCTCGAGAAATGTTAAGAACATTAAAACGTCCCTATTCCGCTTGTATCAGGCTTACATTATTAATTATCCCTTCTCGCTTGGGAAAAGCTTACAATACACACACACATATATATATATATATATATATATATATATATATATATATTATATATATATATATATATATATGGTACATACACACGGTATGCCACAAAGTACGGTCCTGAGCCACCTGCATCCATCGACTTCCTGCATGTCTTACCAGGT